TTTATATTTGTTTCTTAGTAAGGTAATTAAACATAGGCACAGAAAGGAATTATGCATATGTGCATGGTCTTCATGCATACTGTTAAAGCACAAAAAATCTTTTTCAGCTTCCAATATTCACTGCAATGTTTCTTCTCCAGCCATGCTTTCAATTATTTGGGGTGTGACGAGGATGAATGTGTATGCATTGGGTGTGTGGGGAAGGAGAGGGATGGGAGAGCCCGGATACAGAGGCTTTGTACATGGTAAACTTGGGCAGACAGGCAGAAACGAGGAGAGCTAGTCACTGCAGGTAAAAGAAGCCCTTGGAGGCTCCTCTTGAAAACTATCTTCCCGCTACATATAATCAAGTGGAGACTTGAGGTTTTTTTTTTCTAAGCTTCTCTATTAAAATGCAAAACACACTTCTGGTTTTTTACTTTAACACAGACATGTCTAAATGAAATCTTTTCCAGCCCCCTCATTTTACTTGTGAGGAAACCAAGGCCTTGAGAGACGGAATGACTTGCCCATGCCATACAGCTGGTTAGTGGGAGGAGGCTGAACTAGAACATAGTTCCCCTAATAGCCAGTCTGGTGCTTTGTCCCGACTTCCACGTGGCATGGTTAATCTGACTGAGTTACAGGAATAATAAGATTGTGGCTTCAGAATATAAAGTTGGGCATGCTGAAATGGTAGCAAGTATTTCACAAATGGTGGCATGCAATACAATTATACACTGCTCTTTTCAAGGCCGCCAAGGACTTCCATGTTGCTAAATCTAATGGACAGTTCTCTGTCTTTATCTTAATAGAACTTTGAGCCACTGTTGAACCAGCTGGTCACTGATTCCTTCATCTTAATTCCGGCACACCACACTCTCTGATTTAACCTGGCCCCCTGCTCCTTCTCAGTCTCTTTTGCTAACTTCTTTGCTGCTTCCTGGGCTCTAAATAGGAGACTTTTCAAAGCTTTGTCTTCCAATGTTCTCTCATGTCTATCTATACTCATGTTGTAGGTGATCTCATTCAGTCCCATCAGCATCTGTATATTGATAACTTTTGAATCTATGCCTCTCCCTTAAATTCAAGATGCATGTGTAACTGTTTATTTGACATCTCCACTTAGATATCTATTTGGGACATCAGAGTTAAATGTTCAAAACTGAACTCTTCTTCTTCAGTGACCTACATAGGAAATGGCACAAGATTTACTCAGTAGCTCATATTAAAAACCTTGATGACCATTAGTACTACTAACGGTCTCTACCAACCCCCACCAACACCCCAAATATCCTGACACTGTCAATGTCTCACAACTCCTCCGCTATCATCAAAATAAGCTAAATCACCTTCATTTCCCCCTTGGAATGGAACAATTTCATTGTTTTTGTCTTCCTATTTCTCTTGCCCACCACATTTTATTCTTCACACAGCAAATGATTCTTAAAAACTCAACTCAGATCATTTCACTTCTCTGCTCAGAACTAAGCTCTCTCACAGTTTTCTATTAATCCTAGGGAAAACAAAAACACAATTCTTACCATAGCCCACAAGGCCCCACATTATTCAGACCTTGGCTGCCTCTCTGACCTCATGATTGCCAACATACTCCTTACCCATGGAGATGCAACAATGTTAACAGTTTTATTACCCCTCAGATATGCCAGACGTATTCATGACTCAACTTGATATGAAACTGCATTGTTAAAAATAGAATGATAGTTCAAATCGGTTGATAAAAATTCAAAATCAAGATAAGGGTTCACCCTCATAATTAAGTGTTAAGTTAACAGATCTTAAGAAAGATATACACAGTCTTAAAAACATAATGAAACAAGTAAAAAATTTGACATCAATATAACTGATGATTAATTGGATGTGAGGGATAAAGGAAAGAAGGAATCAGTGGTGATCCTCATGGTCATCTGGGAGGGTGGTCAAGTTCAATTTACCTACTTGGGACCAACTAGGCTTTATAGGAGCTAATAGTACCCTCAGTGTAAGGAGTAATAAATTACTGCACAAAAGCATAAGTTCTTCAAAAATCAGTAATCTACTTACAAATAGATCAGCAATTTTCAACAGTAAGACCTCAAGGTGTCTTCATTTAAATTAGGACATATCGATTTTTAAATAGGATTATTTAAAAACTTGAAAAATTGCTTTTAATTTTGTTGAACCTAATTAAGCTAGATTGAATTGTTAACAGCAATTAGAATAGCAAAGGTAGGGAGATTTTTGCCTCAGTTTTATCCATTAAACAGATGCAGTTGGCATTATACTGTTGATTTCTGGCAACTGAAAGAAGATTCTGACCAGATTATCTACTCTTCGTCATTGATTGAGGTTGGACAGGGCAGTGGGGGGGGATTTGGCGGTACTTGAATGTGCCACTTTCCTATTCTGGGCCATGAGTATGATTCAGCAATTACTGAAAAACAAATATTTATTAAAGTCCAGAGCTGTCATTTGGAGACTTTTAAAATGTATTTATAGCCTAGTGTGCTTTCACTTTAATAGACAGTGACAATTTGCGCTCACAGTTAGGAAATAAGAACAACAGACAAAAATATCACTCCTATAGTTGGAAGGGTTTTCATCCAAAAGACTTAGCTGGTTAATTGGAAAGAGAGACACTAGACTATTGTCTTAATTCTCATCTTGGCTTGAGGAAGTGATGAGAGAAGACAAATTTGGGCTGGAAAGTCTTTCTGTGCCCTCTTTTAGCCATTCCCTAAAACTTCTTTCACCATTGTAATTCCTTTCATTCTCTGCCCACATCAGTGTCAAACTGATTGCCTCTTTTCAGGAAATCTGTCAACTTGGTATTATCAGCCTTTTAAATTTTAGCCTTACAAATAGAAATAAAGTGGTTTCCCATTATATTTACTTATTTAATAAACTGTTTTTAATTTTATAGAAAAAATACAAAAGTAGTACAGAGTATTCCCTTATACCCCATATCAAGTTTCTCTTACTATTAACATCTTGCACTGATAAGGTACATTCTTTGCAATTAATGCAACAATGATGATACATTACTCTTACACAGTTCATACTTCATTAAAATATTTTTGGCTTTTACCTAATGTCCTTTTCTTGTTCCAATATTCTCATTAAGGATTCTGTACTACATTTAGTCATCATGACAGTTCTTATTTTTGATGACTTTGGAAGTTTTAAGGAGTACTGGTCAGGTGTTTTGTAGAATTCCTCTCAACTGGGAGAGGAAGACCACAGAGTCATCCCTTGCATCAGGGATACATATTATCAGCATGACTTACCACTCTTGACATAAAATTTGATCACTTGACTGAGGCAGTGTTTTTCAGTATCCTGTATAAAGTCACTCTTTTTATGCCTCTTCCTATACTGAATTATACTTTTTGGAAGGAAGTTACTGTGTGTAGCCCATATTTATATTTAAGGAATGGAGAGTTATGCTGTACCATGAGTGGGGAGTATCTACATAAATTATTTGGAATTCTTCTATATAGATTTGTTTTTTCTTTCTATTTATTTACTAATTCATTTATATGAGTGTGAACTCATGGATGTTCATTTTATACTCTAAGTTATTCTCCAATGCTTCTGTAGCTCTTTTCTTCTCAGATCAGATTGTTCCAGTTTTGGATGTTAGGAGCTATTTCAGTTGTGCTCCTATGTCCCTTTGTCATGCCCCCATCATATTGTTTATGTGTGTGTTTATGTGTGTGTGTGCATGTGTGTGCACATGAGCATGCAGTGAACGCTTCCTTACTTTTTGGCACAATAAGATGTGCCTTCTTGCACAGAGAAATATAATCCTGTTTCAGTCCTAGAATTAGCCCTTTCTCCAAAAAGCCCTAGCTCCTTTTATTGGAGAAGTTATTAGAAACCAAGATCTGGCACTGGGTTTGCTGGTTGCTACTGGGTGTTGTTGCTTCTAGGCTCTTTCAAGTGACAGAGCAAGGAATCCTTGTGTATAGAAACACATATAAATATTCAGCATGAATGTATCTATATCTCTATTAAGCTAAATTAAATATAGATATGATTGGTATCTATAAGTTAAAGTTCACACAGATGTCTCTGATTCCAGTCCATTAATACATGGACTGTTCTAGACTCATCCCTTTGTTTATTTGTAACTTCCTAATCCTACAGTGATGAATCTGACTTCCATCAGGAACCATCCATTTACTTAATTATGCACTTCCAATATACATATATAGCAGTTTCAGAATTTTTAATTCATGCTCCCATGAAAAATAACTTTATTAAACAGGTATAGATTTTTGCCTCTAGTCTTGTAGATTTCTCCCATTTCAAACTTCTTAGGTCAACACATTTTCCCCCTACCTTTCACTAAGGTTGTTTGATACATTTATAACATACATAAGTACTTTTAAAAAATATTCTGCATTCCATCCTAGGTTGCCTTAACCACCTAATTTTTTTAGTTTCCCAATACATTAAGGTTCACTCTTTGTATTATAAAGTTCTATGCGTGTTGACATATACATAGTGTCATAAATCTGCCAGTATGATGTCTTACAGATTCATTTTACTGCCCCCAACGTAGTGGCTTAATACAACACAGATATATTGTATTATAGTTCTGCAGGTCAGAAGTCTAAGCTGGATCTCATTGGGTAAACATTAAGAAGTCAGCAGGGCTGTTTTCCTTCTGGAGTCTCTAGGGGAGAATCAATTTTCTTACCTTTCCCTGCTTCTAAAGACTGCTCATATTCCTAAGCTCAAGGACCCCTTCTTCCATCTTCAAGGCCAGAAATGTCATGTGCAGTCTTCCTCAGGCTGCATCTCTCTGGGTCTCCCTCTCTTACACAACTTCCACTATTAATGTTTATTACACTGGGCCCACCCAGATAATACAGTATAATATCCTTTGCTAATCACTAATCATGCCATATGATTAGAAACTTAGCATGCCATCTGTAACTATAATTGCCATTTGCTGTATAGCCTAACATATCCACTGGTTCTGGGAATTAGCACATGGACATTTTTAGAGGCCATTGTTTTACCTACCACTGCATTTAATTGTTGCAGTACCATTTGCTAGGTCATTTGTTGATAACGATGTCTTTTCTTCATTGAATTGCTTTTGTCAAAAAGCAGTTTGTGCCATTGTCAAAAAGAGTTTACTATGTTTGCATAGACCCACTGTGGTTTTTATTTACATTTTCCTGAAACCTACAATGTTAAAGCATTTTTTCATATACGATTCTGATAACTTCTGTGTGAGATGCCTATTTCTTTTGTGGGAAGTTTTTTTCTCATTTTTCCCCTTATTGTTGCTTCTCTTTTTCTTACTGGTTTATAGCTTTGCATTGATTCTGTATCCAAGTCTTTTGTTAGGTATGCATATAAAATATTTTCTCCTAGTCTATGGTTTACCCTTTCACTTTCTTAATAACGTCTTTGGATAAGCAAAAATTTTGATTTTGATGAAGTCCCAGTGGCTATTTTTGTTTTCTAAATGATTACTATTTGTATGTGTGTGTTTATGTCCTGTATTAGAAATCCTTGTCTCCCTTGAGGACCTTAAGATATTTTTCTATTTTCTTCTAGAGCAGCACTGTCCAATAGAAGTATAATGTGAGCCACAAAAATGAGCCACAGATGTAATTTTGAATTTTCTAGTAGTCACTGTAAACAAAAGTAAAAATAAACAGACAAATTAATTGTAATACTTCATTTTGTTTCACCTAAGATATCAAAATTTTGTAATTTCGAAATCTAGTCAATACAGATATAACTAATGAGTTAGTTTTCTTTTTGGTGTGTATACTAATTACGTTTTTTTAAAAAAAAATCAGTGTATATTTTAGACCCACAGCACATCTCAATTTAGACTAACCACATTTGACATGTTCAATAACTACATGAGTTTAGTGGCTACAATATTAAGATAGCATAGTTTCAGAAGCTTGCTTGTTTTAGTTTTTAAATTAAGGTCTATTACCCATCTTTAAATAGGTTTTGCGTAAGCTATGAGGGAGAGGTCAAAACTTATTGTTTAATACAAATACCTGGTTGCTCCAACACCAGGTATAGAAAGACTTCCCTTTCTTCATTAGCTCCTTTCTTGAAAAGCAAGTAGTTGTATATGCCATATTCTCTATTCTGCTCCATTGGTCAACTTCTCTGTTCTTATGCCAGTATCAGATCATCCTTAATTACTGAAGATTAAAGTAGATCTCAAAATCTGGTAGTGTGATCCTCCAATTTTGTTCCTCTTCAAATGTGCCTTGGCTGGCGTGTGTCTTCCGCATTTTTGTACATACTTTGGAATAAACTTCACAATTTTTACTAAAGCCTTTTCAGATTTTGACTGATAGGGAACATTGTTCTTTGAACACTGGTATCAGCAATTTATTATTACCTCCAATAGTTAAAAGACATGTAGTTACAGAAATTGAAGTCTTTCTGTACAATTGATGATAACCAACTATTTTCTTTTGACCTGCAATGACAGATGGGAGGACACAGAGATGATCATTGCCAAATAAGCAAGAGTGAGGATGAAGAAAACAAAGAAAAGCTAATATGTACTCGGTTACATAGAACGTTCAAAATAGTCTTTGAAGAGACTCACATCATCAAAAAACTCATGATAAATAATAAATTACAACAAATATTTCTTCACATATACATGGGTGTGTGGAGGGTGTGTGTATGTGTGTATGCTACGGTTTGAATGTTTTGTCCCCTTAAAAATTCATGTGGTTGAAATTTAACCTCTCATGTTCAGTGCCGGGGCGTGGGCCCTTGGGTGTTTACGTCACGAGGGCTGTGTTCTTATGAATGTATTAATGCTGTTATTAAAAGGGTTTGCAGGTGTAGATTTGCTCTCTCTTGCTGTCCTACCACATGCAGACATAACAAGATGTCACCAGATGCTGGCATCTTGATCTTGAACTTTTTAGCTTTCAGGACTATAAGAAATACATTTATGTTCTTTATAAATTACTCAGTCTCAGATATTCTGCAGCACAAGACGAACAAAGGCCACATAGCTTCTAAAAATATTGATTTGTTTTTATTACCATATACTCTAAATTTTTAGAGGTGGAAACCTTATGCCAAAGAAGATTATATAATTGTCACAGAAAATAAGTTAAAAAACAAAATAGTTTCTATGGTTTAATAAATTATTGCAGTGAAATCTAGTTTATTCTCCATTATGTCAAATTACACTGACATTCCTTTATATTTGCAGAAGAATGATAATTCAAGAATATAATACTGATCCTAAGAGACTAAATAATTCTTTCATGTATATATTCATTTGTTCAACACTTATTAAATGTCTCCTAAGGGTCAGGTGCTTCGCTTGGTTGGTTTTTTTTTCTGAGAAATTGGACATCAGAGAAATATTGTTGTATTAAGTATATTTGAATTTATTTTCCTTGAAAATTGATAATCTATGTATGCTGTTTGTAACAACTCTCTATTACTCTGATTCCTCTAAACTCCCTGGATCAGTTTGCACACTAGAACAATCTTTCTCTCTTTGGGATGAAAGAGGACTTGTTAGAAATTTGTAGAGGTTTTGACCCTACACTTTTAGAAGGTAAGAGTTGAAAGTGATGGTAGAAAAAATAATCCCTGTCTATTTTCTGGTTGTGGCATAGTTCCAGTTCAGAAGGCTAGTTGAAAGCAATCATAGAAGCAAATGTGATTCTTAAACTTTTATATGCCTGAGCATCACCAGGAGATTTTTCTTAAAAAGCCCATTCTTTGTCCCACTATCAGAAATTCTGACTCATAAGACTGGAGTGGGACCTGAGAATTTGCATCTTTAGTAAACGCAGCTTATGATTCTTTTCCTCAAATTATAAACATTATTGAGTATTGACTGTGACCAAGACAAGAAAGAAATTGAGCTTGGTCCGTAGGATAATGTTCCTCTTGTTATGGAGCTTACTTCTAGGGGAGGAGATAGGACAGAGGAAAAAGGGGCATAACATTCACTGAGACCCCAAACTGCACTAGTGGCCTACGTGTTTGAAATTCTCATACACTAAGTGCTCCTAAGAAACAGTCAGCATGCAGGGATTCCTAGGACCAAGGGGCTGGGGCAGGCAGTGGCCACACTCACAGGGAAGTGAGCTCGATAGGTCAGAGAGATTCAGAGAGTATTTTCTGTGGGAGGTGATGTTGGAGGGGCTTCAGAAGAATTGTGGGCGCTGCAGGAGCATCACAGAAATACTGTAACAGGCCATCAAGTCAAATTTGACAGCACAATTCTATGTCCCTTCCCTTTTCCCATCACGTCCTTTCGCAGCAGTAGACCACCCAAAAACAACCTGCTGTATCCCATCACTTCTGGTGATATTTAAAGTAGTTTAAGAAATTTTGCTCTAAGTTTTGAGTCAGTAGGCAAGGGAAGTGCTTTGCTCAGGCTTACCAAGTTGCTTCTTGTCTTGTAACCTTTCTAAGGTCTTTTTTTTTTTTTTTTTTGGCTTTTCATTTGTTTTTTGTTCTAAGGGAGGAATCATAGGAAATGTTGCCGTTTTATGTCATTGAAGCCTCCAATTTAGAAACAGAATGCAAAATAGGGGAAGCGATGGGGTGTATTTACAAGAACATAAATGGCCAGTGTTCTTGCAAGCAGAAGCAGTCTTGGCCTTAGCAACATAGAACAATGAGAATGCTTTCTACTTAATATGGCTCTTGCTTGCAGAGAGACAACATGTGCTCTTGAAAATATTCCACCAACTATGAATTTCAACAATTCATAATAGGTTTATGAAATAGCCAAGCAAAGTGGAAAGCACAAAAAGTAGTAAAAATTTCTTTGACTAAATTAGTTACATCACTCTTACTTAGCCTGTAAAATTGCTCTCAGGTAAGTGCATTTGTCCTGGCAGTTTATATTGAATAATAATAAATAACAGGCACCCGCAGAATACCATTTATTTCCAACTTATTTCAGGAAAACCATAATTCAGCATCCTCTAGATTAACAGGAGATTACATTTCAGCTGTGCTTGGAAAGACCACACAACAATATTTTGGGGGCTGCATAGCAAGACAAAAATGTGATCCAAGTGAAATTACCAGTATATTTTAAGATGCCCAAATCTAATCAACACATTGGAATTTTACCAAGGTTGTTAACTTTCCTGGTTATTCAATAACCCAGACATTTGCCATATTTTTTTCTTATGTAAACAGTAGTGAAGGACAGTTTTATGACTTTCTAGTTTCAAAACAAAATGCAATTTTCTAAGATATTAGCAAGAGGTTAAGCTCGATGAGTTGGGATAACTCCCAATTCCTCGTACCCTCACTTGCTCAAATCTAAGGTCTACAAGCAAGAAGTTTTTCTTCTGAAATCTTTTCAACACAGTGTGACAGTCATGAACAAACCTGCAGTCATATAAGAAGTTAATTAAGATGAGAAGTAGGCTGACAGCTTCCTGTCACATTTCCCTGTGCTCTTCGTAGATCTCAGATGACACCGAGAAGCAAGCCATGGTTCATGAAGCTGTTCTGCCCATTCCTGCCCACCCTGAGATTTTAGGTTAAATTTTATATACTATGCAGTACAGAGTGCAGCAAACTTACAGAAATGCAGAATTATTTTAGGCATTCTAGGTGGTTTTAGACCTAGAATACATCTGTAACTCAAACCTTCCGTGGAACTTACTTTTCTCTGAGGTCAAGTCTGGTAATGTCCTACACGCTTAGCAACACGGTTCTGAAACAGAATTCTTCCGAGGTGCTTCCCACCACAGAATTGATGTCACAATGATAGTAGATATGACAATTTGTAATCTCACTTCATTTATCTGACAGGGAAAAAAATAGTAAATACAACATCCCTCAAAATCTGATGTTCTATTTTATGTTGCACATACGAACTTTAGGGAGAAAATTCTAAACCTTTTAACTGTCTTTAATTATTTTGTTGTAGGGAGAAGAATTCAGCTCTACCTGGAATAGTTTAGATGAGATAACTTTTAAAAGTTATGTTGTTATAGGGGCTCTGGATCTTTCTCTGAGTTTAAACTCCAGCTCCACTCCTGAGTGACTTGTACATGAGGTAGAGATTTCTTCATATATAGAAGCTGAAGAACTGATTTTTCTACTGCTGTAAAAATATTTTTTTGCTATACACTAGTTTAAAAGAAGCAGCACTTCATTTCCAAATGAAACTGTGAATACTAACACTTACTAGATAAGATTAACTTGTCCAATCCTTACAGAGGCCATTTCTATATAATAAACAACTGAAAAATTACCTTTAAAAAATACCATCAGAAATACCAAATACTTAGGAATCAATTTAATGAAAGGTTATTGATTTTATAATGCCATATTAGTTATAATACCAGTATAGATAGATATTGCCTATATTAGAAAAAAGGCATTTAAAATGATAAATATCTCTAAATACCACTTTAGCTACATCCCAGCCCTTACGAAATGCTGTGTTTTCATAATTCAATTGAAAATATTTTAAACTTTTCCCTGTGATTTTTCTCTTTGACCAATGGGTTATTAAGAAATGTGCTATTTAATTTCTAAATTTATTAAATATTTTATTATTATAGCTTTTCAGTTTAAATTTGTTGTGATTAGAGAACATATGATGTAACATTTTAGCCTGTTGTATTTGTGAAGATTTGTTTTAGTCCCAGCATATAGTTTAACTTGGTAAATTTTCCACATGTAGTTGATAAAAAATACATATATACACTCACAAGTTGGGTATAGTACTCTATAAATATCAGTTAGGTCAAATTGGTTGATGGTATTCAAATTTTCTCTGTTATTACTAATTTTTTGGTCTACTTTTCTATTAATTAAAGAAACAGAGGTTTTAAAATATCTAGCTATAACTGGATTTTTCTGTGTTTCCTTTATTTCTGTCAATTTTGATTTATATAGGTTAAAGCTCTATTTTTAGGTACATACATATTTACAATTGCTATACTTCAATAAATTGCCCTTTTCATTAAACTATTCCACTTTATCTCTGGTAAAACTGCTTGTCTTGATGTCCAATTAGACTGCTACTAATAGGACCACTCTGTCCTATTGTGCTTAATATTTGCATGGAACAAATGTCTGTTTTTTAAGGTTTAGTCAGTTCCGTTAATACTATCCTTCTAGAGAATGACTACTCTTGCATTTTTATTCCTCCTGAAAATTTATGCTTGTAATTGTAATTATTAATATGGTTGGATTTAAGTATACCATTCAGCTATTTGTTTTCTCTATTTTTAAATCTGTTTTTATTTGTTCATTGTTATTCTTCTTTTACTTCTTTTCTTCTCTTCATTTTTTCCCTATATTATTTCCTTCAGTCTGAAAAACTTCCTTTAACATTTCTTTTAGTAAAAATCTGCTGGAAGTAAATCATCTTAAGTTTTTTTCTGCATATGTATGTATTGGACCTTAATTTTCAGAAGTAGTTTAATGGATATTTAATTCAGGGTAGACAACTTTTATTTTGGAGGGGGAGACACTTTAAAGATGTTACATTGACTCTTGGCTTCTGTAGCTATTCTATTTCGATATCTATGTATCTCTATCTATCTATCATCTTTTTTATTCTAGCTGCTTTTAATATATTCTCTTTATTAATTATTTTTGACAATTTGGCTAAGATGTACCTATTTGTTGATTTCTTTTTTCTTATTCTGCTTGGAATTTGCCATAACAATTAAGGAAGTTGGGAGTATTTCTTTTCTGCCCCATTTGCTTGTTTCTTGCAATTTAGCTGCTGGTATGTTTAATTACACTAAGTCTTGTCCACTTTTTATTTTTTTTAAATCTTCAAATTAAGGGCTTGCTCTTTATTTGCTTTAAAGTTTACTGATTTACTCTTTTGCCGTTTTCAATCTGCTTTTAAGCTCAACTTGTAAATTTTTAAAATTTTCGATGTTTGTATTTCTCAGTTTTAGAATGTCTCTTTGATTTTTGTAGTTCATTTTTTCTTTTCTGATGGGATTCCCTATCTGTTCCCCTACTGTATTCATGTCTTCCTTTATGTCCTTGAAAGCTTCCATAATAAATGTTTTAAAATTTTTTATTGTCAAATTCTAACATTTAAGTGAGTTCCACTGACTGCTTTTTAAAAATTCTGTTTTATCATGACTGTAAGCTGAACATGTGAATGATACACTGCATGGAGTCATTTTATGTCATCCTTATTTGAAAAGTGGTTTATTTTTGTCCTGGCAAGCAATTAAATTATTGGCAGGTTTGATCCACTCTGGCTTCGTTTTTATGTATTTATTTTTTAGGAAAGTTCTGTTTTGTTTTCCCCTCCTTTATTTTTAGTACATGCCCCTTCCTCCATGGAGTGTTTCTCACTTACTAGGTGTGACCTTTCTGGAGTTTAAACTGAATGCTCTAGTGTCTCAGTGAAGTTTGTCAGTTTTGGCTGTGTTGCAATTCCCAGAATTGTACAACTTACTGAATCTCCATTAAGCTCAGAGCCCTAAAGCAACCGCCTCTGCTAGACTTCAAAGAGTCTTACCCAGTACATGCACAGCCCATCCAAAGACCTTGCATCTGTCAAAATTCTCCAGAGAATCAGAACTAATAGATTATACATCTAGACCTAGATTTGTTTTAATGAATTGACTTATATGATAATGGGACCAGCCAGTCCAAAATCTGTAGGGTAGGCTTACAGGCTAGAAAGACAAAATTTCTATGTTCCAGTGTTGATGCAGAAATCCCTCTTCTCCAGGAAATTTCAAATTTTAGTCTTGAATCCATCAACGGATTGGATGAGGCACCTACACCAATGAATGTAATTTTCCAAGTCAAATGATTGTATCAACCCAACTTTAGGGTACTCACTCTGCACATCCTACTCATGTCCAGTATCTGTTGGGAAAAGACTTTTGGGTTTCCCTTCCATACAAGTTCCCCATCTCCAGTATCCTGACCCTCAATTTCCTGCCACTTCGGCAGTCACATTCTCCAATACTTGCCTTCTCACCTGGGTGAGACCTCTGTGGTCTGCTTGGTTATCAGCCCCCAGCACCATGGTTGGAACGTGCCCTAGGCAGGCAATTGGAGTAAATGTGGGGATAATCTCTACTTTTCCATTCTCGGGAATTACAGACCTCTTCTGTATTTCTCAATGCCTAAAACGGTTGGGTCATATATTGTGTCCAGGTTTATGATTGTTTATCATGAAAGGTCAAGTCCTACACCAATTACTATGTAATGGTTAGAAGCTGAACTTGAAAACTGTGTAACTAGTTCTTAGTTATCTATGTCAACTGTTCTAAACCCTTTGAAATGAAGCATAAATTACACCTTAGTGGTTCTCTGTTGCATATATCTTAATTAAAACAAAATTAGTAAAAAAATCAACATTTTATTTTAAGATTTCCCTTCCTATCTGATATTTTCAGTTCATTGAGAAGTGCCAATTGGTTTGGAGACATTGGCTGCTGCCATACTCTAACTCTCCCAATATAGCATAAATGCAATCCAATTGCTGAAAGTTTGAATGTTATTTAATATTACAGGTATTTATGGAAATGGTTATAGAAATAATGAATTTGAAAAATAATCAGTAACAAATATTTATACTGCACAAAACATTGTATTAGCAGCTCTGGATAATGCTATGTCTTCAAGAAGTTTACATTGTAATGGGAGAGCCAGAAAATTAACTGTTCTATGTGCTATCCTCAATTTTACAAACATTGTACATCAAACAAACACTGTGTCCTTGTGTATTTAGAATAATCAGAATTCTTAAAGACACAATGCTTGTTTATAGGAGCAGATGGGTGTCATTTTTCAGAAATGGACAAAATTTGGACAGGTTGCATGAGTTCACATTTTAGCAAGCATTTAAATAAAAAAGAATTGAGCAAATCAGGAAGATGATTGGTCTAAACAAGGCAAAACATATGACTATTTGGTTATCTAATGTCTTCAAATTTCTCAGCAGTTAGTCTTTCCAATCCCTCTTTGAAGGAATAACACAGTACCCATTGCATATATGTGCAGATAAGTTTTATAAAGTCAAGGTAGGACATGACTTAAATGAAAAGTACAAAAGATGGGGTGGGGAACTAAGCTATATCTTGAGACCTAAGCAGACATGTTATTCTTACCCACAATGGACTTCATTGATTAATTTATTTGCAAATCATTATTAAGTCCTCACTATTTGCCTGAAACAGAACAAGAGATTTGTGATACAGTGGTGACAAGGCATACATGGTCAGCTGTGAAGGAGCTAGGACATCCAGGCCTAGAACTAGACCAGCCATCACCTTCATGGAGTTGAGGCAGAAACCTTCAGAACCAGACTGGCTGAATTATATCTGAGGGTCTCATAGGGATCAAAAATAGACTAATAGTTTAAGTCCAATTGTCACCTGGGTTCATCAAGCCAGAAAAGCAGAAGTTAAATGGCTAATACAAAGAGGTAAAGTATACCTGTTTTTAGAATCCTGGTATGGTATTAATAATGCATAGTTTAGGCTGGGCGTGGGGGCTTGCGCCTATAATCCCAGAATTTTGGGAGACCAAGGCAGGCCGATCACAAGGTCTGGAGATTGAGACTGTCCTGGCTAACACGGTGAAACCCTGTCTCTACTAAAACTACAAAAAATTAGCAGGGCGTGGTGGCGCCCACCTGTAGTCCCAGCTACTTGGGAGGCTGAGGCAGGAGAATCAATTGAACCTGGGAGGCGGAGGCTGCAGTGAGCCAAGATTGCACCACTGCACTCCAGTCTGGGTGACAGAGCGAGACTCTGTCTCAAAATAATAATAATAATAATAATAATAATAATAATAATAATGCATAGTTTACTCTCCTTTGCTGAGCTAAGCTCATGTTCTTAAAAATAGCAAGACAAAACCAATTAAGAGTAGAAGTCTATAAGGGAAAGTCTTGGTCCTATCGTTGGAAGAAATTTCAGTCCAGTAGGTAAATATAATACCTAGAACCATGATATTTAATACACCATAGTCAACAGATAGTGGTCTAGAGTCACCATTGATATTAAGGACTTGTAAACCAGAGCAGAGATATTTTCCAAAATGCGGTTGGAGATTGAAGATAAGGACTCCAAAATCCAGTGATAATCAGAGTTGTAGGCCATTAGTATGCAATGGCCTCCAACTTTGTCAAGAGGCAAACCCCAGACAAAGATGAATTTTCAGAACCAGACCTTAGGCATTCAAGCGTTGCAGCAACAGGAACAGTTGCAAAACGAATGCTCAAATGTAAGGCAAAAAAAAAAGGGTGTTATAATAATTGAGATTCGTGGTGGTATCTCAGTCATAAGAATAGGCTAGAATCCCAGCTTGCAAAGCTAGGCTTTAAGGTCAAAGCTTGGTCTCTGAACTCCAAGATGGAACTGGGTAAATACCTCCAGTTGTAGGGTAGAATTTGTACTAGGGACAGGGAGCTGGTCAAGCTGGAAGATGGTGAAATTCAGAGACAAGGAACTAAGCTGGTCCTGTCAAAGTATCTTCTTCATGAATTTGGAATTGACCTTATAAGGTAGTTATCAGATTAGTTGACCTAAACATTAATACTTTTATCAGAATATCTTTGTTTTATACCACTAATGCTTTGGTCTTTAGAGTATATTTAACAGTATGAATTTCAGCCAGTCATCTATTTGAGTGATTTTCCAGGGAAAGACTTTCAAATTTGTGATAAAATATCTACCACTGCAGATCATTAGTTTATGGCAAGCATGAAGATAAAAATTAGTTCATCATTTTTGGTTCTACTGTCTTAATGTTTACAGAGCAGATAGTAAAAATGTCCCCAAATGAGAACAAAAGTGTATTAATTGACATCAGTAACTCATACCCCTCTGCTCTACCCATTGTCATTTCTGCTTTTACCATGTCTTCTATCTCTAATTATCCTACCCCCATCTACTGATTGAGGGCTTCCTCCTTCCTGTTTTCCTTAAAACCCTATATAATTTTTATGAAGGCACTTATTATAGTTCAAAATAATAATCATTATCATTGGTGCTATGTCAAGCTTTCTTGAGAATGGAGCTCTTTGGGAGTAGAGACTTAGTCATATTCTTGCCTTTTCAGGTCCTCATACTGTGCCTGACACATTGTAACTATGCAATGAAGTTTGTTAAACACATGAATAACTGAATACATACCTATTTTTTCTTTAATTTTTCAAAAGAACTGTGGTATACTAGTTAAAGAAAAAGTAGACTATGAACTTACGTTTTCTTTGGGCATTTTATTACCCTTGACTACATTCCTTCACTCATTCTTATCACCAAGGACTCCTGAGAAAATTTTATTGCCGGAGAATGGCCGCTGACAACTTTATTCCTCCTCAACGGAAGAAAGTTCTTTAAGTCTGCAGGAATTTTACTCTGTACCTTTGATGTGAAATTTTATCATCTATTTCTGGGAAAGCTTGTTATGTTATATAAGAACATAAAGAAAGAAACAAAGAGAGGCTACTAGTCTCAACTTTTGCAATCTGCAGATTTCAGCTTCAAAGCAAAAACGACAGATTAAGTTCCCAAGTCTTGAGTTTTGCTTGGAAGAAAAACAACATTTAGAACTTATTTGCATCTCATGGCGCAGTTTTATAAATGGCAAAGCTGTAATCTTGTGCAGAGAACTCCATCTGGGCCTGGTATCTGTGTTCATGCAGTGCATCTCACTGGGGTGATGAGTTTTCTGCCTATAACTGCTTTTGAGAGATGTTACTCTGAAACGTGTTACCGCCCGCTCGCATGTGAATAAAAGACCCCAGTCAGAACCTGTGTTGTTTGGGACAACTCACCATCTTGTCATTTTAATCATTGTAATATCAATCTCTCTTCTGCATAAGGTCATAGTTCAATGAGCCACCTCTTCCTTGATGTTGGGGCTAGCTCCAGATTTGTTCCTATCTTTAGCACCTGGTAGCTGTGCTATTCTGCATCTTCTTGTATTTCATTATTGAATCCCCTTGTCCTCTAAACATAAGTGGGAGCAAAACAGATATAAGGTAACATTGACAGATGAGAAATAACGCTATCATCTCTCTCAGGAATCATTTTGCAACCTAAAAGGTTAAGATTTGAGAAACTAATCATCCCAAGTGACATCTTATGTAAAAGACACATCTAATTTTATCATGTAGTTAAATCTTTATGCAGATGATTAAATCTGTGAATTTTTCCACATAACAGACACATTATAACCAGCTTCTGCCATCCGAGTTTCTTTAAATTATGTATATTCCATATATTATGCACATCTCTGATATATATGAGATATATGTGTATATATATATACCCATATAAAATTATCATGTAGGTACTGTTATTCCCTGGTACACGTCTTACCCTGTAAGCCACATCATTTCTGTTTTAAGATGAGCAAGTTTGAGGTTAAGCTTTGACCTAAAACCAGTCATGGACAGCTTGTTTACTTATATTCATCAGTCTAAAAACCAAAGCAAAACAAATAAATTGGTTTAGGAGAGGGAGAGATAAAATTTTACTGCAAAAATTTAAAAATATATTTTTGTGGCTTTAAGTTGGTGGTTCAAAAATACTTAATTCGTCCTTCAAAAAACTCAGTGGTGGTGTTAGATGAGGCACAGGTATAATTATACATTAGTGTCCAGATTTTAGAAAATGTGCCACGGGTTAGGAAACATACTAGGAAGTTAGGAAAGAGTTATGGCAGCAGTTAGCTGCAGAATTCTGATGAAAACCAATTGTTCTCTATTCACAAGACTGAGTCTTTTGGCTGAAGCAGTAGTCATCAAATGCTGGTCAGCTGACACCTGCATCAGAGTCACCTGAGAGCCTCTAAGAATCAGAGTTCTATAGCTAACCCCCTAAAGATTTCAATTCGGAATACCGCTGTAGGGCCTAGAAATCTATACTTTGAAAACTTTCCAAATAATTCTAATGGCTGAATTTAGGAAGCAGTAGATAAAAACTTACATTGTTCTGTTTATGAAGTCTTGCAGTAGAAGACGTGGTATTGTGTCAAATATAGATCAGGGACCTTCAGCCTTTAACAAGAAACAGACGAATAGGTCAGTGCCAAGAAGGTTTCAATGAACAGTCAAAGCACAAAGGGATGACCTCATTGGGTAAGAGAATTGACTGAGCTCTTAATAATCTTCCCTCATGCAAAGAAACATACAATCTAAGTAAAAACATGCCTTTCTTGTACAAAAGAACCTCACAGGACTAGTTTATAGCCCACTGGCCCCTCTATCCCAGCTCCTTACCAGGATTCCTATCCTTTGTTGTATTGAAATTCTGAAACTATAGTCATTATATATCCTACTATTTCACTTCATTGTAAATGAGCTTAGAAGAATATCAACAATTGGAAAAATTAGCAAGATAAGGAAGACTATACTCAGAATCTGTTTAATATATACTTGAAAAAGATTGTATATTATCTAATTGTTAGGTGCATTACATTCATAAGATAAAGTTCATTAATTGGATTTCTTAAGTTTCTGTAACTTTAATAATTCTTTTTCTGTTAAATCCATTGTTTCTGAGAAATGTTCAAAACCTCTCATTTTTGGCCAGGTGAAGTGGCTCACGCCTATATTCCCAGCATTTTGGGAGGCTGAGGCAGGTGGATCACTTGAGGTCAGGAGTTCCTGACCAGACTGGCCAACATGGTGAAACCCCATCTCGACTAAAAATACAAAAATTAGCCGGGCATGGTGGTGGGTACCTGTAATCCCAGCTACTAGGGAGGCTGAGGCATGAGAGTCACTTAAACCTGGGAGGTGGAGGTTGCAGTGAGCCAAGATCACACCACTGCACTCCAGGCTGGGTGACAGAGTGAGACTCCATCAAAAAAAAAAAAAAAAAAATCCATCATTTTTAGGAAGACTTGTCCATTTTTTTCTTGCAATAATCAATCTTTGTCTCTGGCAATATTTTGGTCAATATTAGTATTCCTTAGTAACTGCCTGGCATGTCTTTTATTTATTTATCTACTTTTGGTTTTTATCATGTAGGTATGTATTTTATAAGTGATATATGTCCAAATTTATCAAAACCTAATTTTACAATTATTTTCCTTTAACTGGTAGATTTAATTCATTCATGTTCAATACCATTACTGTTACATTCGATTATTTTAATCTTATTTTGCGTCATGTATTTTCTTTGTTTTTTTTTCCCTTTCCTGCCCTTTACTAAATTGATCAAGTTTTCTCTGTCATAATTTTTCTCCTCTATCAGCTTTTTTTTTTTTTTTTTTTTTTTTTGAGACAGAGTCTCACTTTGCCATCCAGGCTGGAGTGCAGTGGCATGATCTCTGCTCACTGCAACCTCTTGCTCCAGAGTTCAAGCAATTCTCATGTCTCATTCTCCCAAGTAGCTGGGATTCCAGGCATATGCCACCATGCCTGGCTAATTTTTTGTGCTTTTAGTAGAGACAGGGTTTTGCCATGTTGCCCAGGCTGGTCTCAAACTCCTGAGCTCAGGCAATCCATCCGCGTTGGCCTCCCAAAGTGCTAGTAAGCGTGAGCCACAGCTCCCAGCTATTAGCTTTTAATTATACATTCCATTTCTATTCTTTTAGTGGTTACATGTATTCTTAAGAAAGTCTAAGTTTAATTACTCTTCCTTTGTCCTAGAACTGACAAAGTTTGGTTGCTTTTTTTTTTTTTAAAGAAAGAAAATCACATATCACCGGAAGGATAAATTGCGCTTGCTCCTCAATTTTCTAATAATTGAGATCCAGAGAAAATAATACTTTAGAATTGAGTCCATTATGGACTCTAGTCCTTTGTTTTGTGGTGGGTGGTGAAGAAGAGAATGGGAGGTGCTTTAGGGGCTGTCTGAGGGAAAGGAGGTAGGCACTAGGAGCTCAAAGTTTCAGTAAATCTGCTTAGGGGCTGTACAAAGAGTATAGTTATTACTCTCTACATCTCTTTGGTTGGATTATTTTCTCCCCTTCTTGTGCCAGGATAGGAAAAACTGAGAAGGCACAAGTAACTCCCCACAGACTCCCATATGTTTATTAAAACTCCTGTGATTACCAGGACATGAGGAAGGTCCCATGTGAGCAGATGCAGCAGGCAAAGTCTGATTTCTCTGAGGCATGAGCATAGTGTTTTCTTGGGAAGCTTGACTACTCTTCACCAAGTCTCACGTAGGCTCTCCTACCCTATTGAATAACTGAATTTGTTGCTCACTTTCCAAATTCATGTTGTTTTTAGGTCCTCTGTTTCCTGGTTCTCTTCTAGATCCTCATTAGATTCTTGCTCAATTTTCTCTTCTGGCTGTTCCTGCCCTGCAGATGGGCCCATCAGCCTGTCCAGCCCCAGGGACATGAGTTTGTTGATATCTCTGCTATTTCTACAGCAACAAATCCCAAACAGAGCCCAGATAATCTCTGGCCAGGCACTCTGCTCTCCATGGAGCACTGACCTCTGGGAGCTGGCAGTTCTGTGTGTTCAAGACAGTAATGAAGAAAGAGTCAGAATTGGGATGTGGGACAGGATTCAGAGTTATCGTATATACTTACTCAATGGTTTATTAGTATGCCTTCAATTGCAAGAGACAAAAAACCTGACTAACTGGCATAAGCAAAAAGATATTTATTGATTCATGTCCTCAGAAGTCCTAAACAGAGCTATTTTTAAGTTATACTAATCTAGTGGCTTGAAATACGTGAAAACTAGTGTTTTCTTCCTCCCTTTCCAGTTCCAACTCTTCTGTATCACTTTATTTTGGAAGAACCTTGCCTTATGGTCCTGAGAAAGCTGCCAACAGCTCCCTGAGCTCTATCTTTATTATTTGTGCCCACAGGGAAAAAAAGATTATCCTTGACTCAGCATTCCAAAGAAAAGTTCGAGGGTAGTTGAGGTTGTCTGGCCAGGACTGAGGCAATCACTGGGAGCGAGGGGATGAAATGCTGTAATTGGTTTAGTCTACCAGGTGATGCACCCCTGGGGCAGAAGTACAGTCAAGTTCCATAGATTCCGTAAATCCCCAAATCCCAAGAATCAGTGGATGCTAGAAAGGAAAATATTGGTGCTGGCAAAGGTAGCAAAATGTCCACTCTGCCTAAATGTGCTTATCCTCTCTTAGAAACTGTGGGGTCCAACAATTCATCTCCTCTTTATTTCTGATTTTTTTTTTTAACCATAAGCATACTCTTTTGTGGTTTCTGTGAAAAAAGCTGTCTTGTCAGTCAATGCTTCTTCTCTCTGGCTGCCTCCTACAACTACTTTTCCAGAAAAATGAGTTATGTCAGAAATAACATGGCATTCCATTAAATGTGTATTCTTTTCTTATTATCTGGGAGACATTGCTTTGATCAAAGAGTCTTAATGGGCAAATATGTATGTGCATAAAAGACACTGTCTGTGATTTAGAAACTGCAAGATGCCTTCTTTGTTTTATTTGGAATATTTCTCTGTTTTATGGAAAAGAGTGTCTTAGTCTATTTTGGCTGCTATAAAAAAAATACCAAAACTGGGTGGCTTATCAACAACATAAGTATATTTCTCACAGTTCTGCAGGCAGGAAAATCTAAGATCAAGGAGCTGGTAAATTCGGTGTCTGGTGAGGGCCCACTTTCTGGCTCGCAGACTGTGCCTTCTTGCTGCGTCTTCACATGGGGGGTGGGAGGGAAGAAGGAGCTCCCTGGGGCCTTTTTTAAAGGGCATTCATCCCATTCTGCCATTATGACCAAATCACCCCCCAAAGGCCCCACCTCCTATTACCATTACCCTGAAAGCTATCACTTCAACTTTTGAATTTTCAGAGAACATAAATATTCACACCATAGTAAGTTGTTTTATTCTTATTAGGACCTTGGGCATGCTTAATAATGAATTTTGATATAAAATAATAAGTATCAAATAAGCTAATAGTTTGTGCTTCTCAACTGCAGGTTTACAGTTTCTGGAGTGTAGGATAGTTCAGGAAATAATAACCATGAGCCTTCCTTCTCACTCTGTAGTTGTGCTATCTTCATGTAAAATAGTATATCTCTACCAAAAGAGAGACAGAGAGAAAGAGAGAAACTTTTGACTCACTTCTATATAATTCTTTTGTTCTCAAAAGAGAGAGCCACATACTTAGCTCACAACAAACAGGTAAGTCTTGTTCAAGAATAAGTTCAAAGATAATCACATAAAATTTAGTTACAGCAAGACAGAATGCTATCACTAGAGCAAAACACTTGCCAATCTCTACCTTACTTCCACAAGGCACACATAGTAGGAACACAGTGAACCAGAACCCTTATTTCAGAAAGCAGCTTCCAGCCAGATGACCATCACACACCATGGTACCAATCCCAGAGGCATAAATGTGTAATGTGTAAGGTGGACACAAGGTCAAAGAAAACACTAAAGCACCATAGACTAGGCAGTGGGTCCTCAATAAATCTGAGAGCCCGTTTTCTCTATCCATTTATTTCCAACATGAGTGTCAAAATTCAGTTAAGAAGAAAGCATGACAATGTGAATGAAGAGAAAGGAACAGGATGAAAACCCTGGCAAAGAGTCCTTGGCTTGAATTTACCCATGACTGGAATGGTTACAATTTCTAAGCACACTCGTGTCTCAGCAGAGGCTGCCAGAGGTGAGCCCAGCCCCACAAGTGCTTGTGACACAATTTCTGCCCTGTGCACGGCTCTGGGCCGGTCCCCCCAACCTCTATAAATCCTGCATCCATGTCATCACTGCTGCTCCAGCTTCCTGCTGCTCCAGCTTCCTGCTGGAGAAAGCCCTGGTGACCCAGGAACTCCTCAGCTTTCTGTCCTTGCCATGACTTTGATTGCTGCCCAGTCTTTGGCTTGGCCCAGGCTCAAGAGTTAACAGTTCTTTGGACAGTCTTGGGCCAAAGCCTCAGCTGGAGAGGAAATGTTGGGCTTCATCTTTTGTCACAGATAAGATTTAATGAGTCCAAAGGATGTGTGATTAAAGGAAGTTCACAGGAAGTTGGGCTGAAGCTTTTCTGATGATTGTTTAAAAGGCATTGACCTAGACATTCAAGTAAAAAAAAAAAAAAAAAAAAATTGAGCACATTAAAAAAAAGTCAAAGATTTGGTTCAAAAGTTATAAAGGCAAATCCATTAGGTTTGAGGCTGGAGGAATAGAGAAACAAAAAGAGGAAAGGTTTAAATGGGAATAAAAAATAGTTATTCATAGTTAATTACCACAGACCAGGATTTATCAACCAGCCTCTAAGAAGCTAACAATAGTAGTTAGGTAATTATTTTACATAGTGAGGCCTCTAGCCAAAGGTAATAAATTCCTTTTTTAAAAAGCAGTGTGCCTTCTTTTCATCTGGGAGGAGATATGATGAGAGGTGAAATTTAGGCTGAGGGAAATAAATGGCTAAAAGAGAATTAGTCCCTTAAATAAACAAATGCATGAATATACCCTTGCAGGGATTTGAAATCTTAAGAGTCAGAAAGTTAGACGGTCTAATCCATGGATATTTTTTTCATAGATGCATCACGTAAGTATCTGAGAACTAAAGATAATTTGATATTTGTCTTCAAATGGCTGTGCTGCTGCCAGCAACATCAAAGGCCATCATTCTAAGTATGACATCTAGTGAGTACAGACTTGGTTCTCTCCAGAGTGTTGTCATAAGCATGGTGTGGTGGGAGAAAGAGTCAATTTAGAATCAAGAAACCTTGGATCTGAGATTGGAGCTGATACTTAGGAGTTGTAAGTCCCTGTAAAAGTCACTTTTCTTGCCTGGAAATTGTTTTTTCCCACTTCTCAAATAAAGGATTTGAATTAGACATTCTTTAAGAAATATTCTTGCTCTAAAATTTAATAACTCTCTAAGACATTAAACCACAGTTGATAGTTGACGTTGCAGTTTCATTTAGTTGGTTAGATGACCTAGTCATATTATCTATCTTGAAGGTAATTCCTTAGACATTTATGTCTAAGCATGTGTTAGACATATTATATGCATTTTAAGAGAAATGTAATTGTTGACATTCTCTAAGGTAAGCTTTATGACTCTGCCTTAATTCAGGCTTCTTATAACAATTATACCATAAACTGAGTGGCTTAAACAACAGAATCTAATTCACATAGTACTGGAGCCTGGGAAGTCTAAGATGAAGGTGCTGACAGATGTGGTGTCTGGTGAGGGTCTGCCTCCCGGTTCACAGATCACTATCTTCTCCTTGTATCCTCTCATAGTGGGAAGCAGAGAGAAAGAAAAAGTAAGCTATCTTGTATCTTGTTATAAGAGAACTAATCCCATTCATGAGAGCTCTACCCTCATAACCTAATCACCTCCCAGAGGCCCCACCTCCTAATACCATCACATTAGGGGCTAGGGTTTCAACATATGAATTTGAGATTAACACATTCAATTCATAGCAGAATCACATTTTCTAGATGAGGTGTGTAAGGCTAAGGTAGCTGGCCTAAGGTCACAGTTCTGATAAATGGGAAAGTTGAAAGGGATCAAGGACCTCCGTTACACCATAAATGTTTCCGTCAACCTAAAGGGAACTGCCCTTCATTCTTTTGAGATATGAAATACCATTCTAACAATTCAATCATTTCTTCAGCAGTGAATATATTCTTTTGCTTGGAAATGCAATTTTTGTTCTCTTATGGATTGATTGCTTGATGTAAATCAGTTTGCACAAAAGTAAAAAAGAATCTTATGATGAAATTAACTGACACCTGGAATTTGATTCTACTTTTCTTACTTCAACCAACCCTACATTTGAAAAACGTGTCTCTTGAAGTGAGAATACTGTTACTAGGTGCCTTGTGCAAACTTTCTGGCTACCTTTAATTGAATTGCAACTATCTTAGTTCTCACTTGTTGGGAGAAGAAGGGAAAGAACAGAGTATTTATTAGGGAAAGAGCTTCACTTTTTAAAAGCAGAGCCACGGTAGAAGATCTGGGTGAACTCCAGTTAGGAAAACCTAATCTATTAATGAGTCATCAATAGGTTTGTTTTCATTTATTGTCCCCTTCTGTCTACCCTCCTCGAAAGATGCAAAAAGGACATATATGTTGACTTTTCAAAAAGAATTTGAGGAAAATATATAAACCTAGCGAAATAATTCCACCTTCCAGGAAAGACAGAGAAACAAAGGGGGGAAAAAAAATCTCAAATTTTGCTCATTCCACTTTGATTTGCATATGTATGATAACTGAATTTAATCCTTTGCTGGCTGTTATAAGGGAAAAAACACAAACAAAAAATAAGCATTATTATTAAAGTAACATTTCCCAATATTAAAAAATAACTGCATTGGAAAAGTCCTCAATTCATTGGACAGGATACATTTTAGCTTAAGGGGAACTACAGCTTTAGAAATATAAATCAGTGTCACCTATATGTGGGTGAAAATTAAACGGATAAGCATATACTGAGAGGAAGGCATGGTATCTATTGTCATGCAAATCATTTTCATTGTGCTAGTAGCTCAGTATCGTCCAGGATTTAGGATCGCACAGTATGAGCAGCAAAGCTGCTGACACAAAAGTCCTATTCCTGGCTCAGAGTCACGAGTTTTATTCAGTTAGTTTCCTCATCTGTGGGATACAATGGTCACCCAGGCTCTGGGCTACAGAGAAGCCTCATTAGATTGTCCCCACCTATGGGCACTGGCATACTGACTAGAAGGCATCATACAAACAGAGATTATTTTATAATTAGGATAAATCCTTGGATGAAAGGGATGGGTTTGCAAATCATGTTTCACGAAGAATGAAACTATGGCTGATATTTGAAAAGACCTGCCTTTGTTAAAGACCATATTCTGAGTTCAAAAGCAACACTCACCAGAAGAGCTCTCCCTCCAGCCCACTTGGCTACAGTTGTCTTCTACAGTTCAATACATGACCCAAGGGATGGTTCTTGTGGGGGTGCCTGGGGCTCTTTGCACATTTGCACATTGACTGGACCTGAGAAGCACACACTCTCAGGCTCTTTCAGGGCTTCCCTGCAGGTAAAAAAACAACTGGTCTTCTAGGGAGGCTCCAGGAAACCTTTCACAGTCCTATGCCAGGAACCCTTTGGAAATGGCACGTCAGCAGCATCTGCCCTATGGAAGTTATCCCAGATATCCTGAGGGAGCAGCTCTGTGGTTAACAAAAGAGCTTATAGTGTAAAACTAGATTTCCACACCTTAGAATTGAAAACTTAATAAAACCACACATGTGTGCAGGGTTTATTTATTTGTTTACTTATGTAAAATGCACTTCTGTTTTTTCCCATGCTTTTTGCCTTCTTGGTTCTGTTCTTGTGGTTTTAAAACATGTTGTTTCCACTAAATAAGACTATAGAGGAGGGATGCTGATTTATGTGAACTAAGTTTTCAACATCTTTTGGGGGGGAAAACACGGGTATGTGTATGCTACACTGCATAGCCACTCAGAATATTACTTTTTCTCCCTTTCTCTGTGAGTCCTGCGTGTGTGTGACAACATTTTAGCAATGTCTTCAGAGGAAATGAATTCCCCATCAATCAGGGTGTTCAAGCATTAACAAGTTGTCTACTTCATTGTAGACACGTTTCCGAGGGAAATTTCTTAGCAAATGAATAGCTCATTCACACATATGTCCAAAGTACTCTTTAATGCTTCATATGTATTCAGCACAAGTTTACATTATA